CCACTTTCTTGTACACTAAAGATGAACTTTATAGTATGAAAATAGCATTTACAACATGGTAAAAGTGAAATTTTTTGACAGGTGCTGGTGGTTCACACCTGTAATCCTAGCTACCCAGAGGCTGGGATCTGAGGATAAAGGTTTGAAGCCAGCTCAGGTAGGAAAGTCCATGAGAGGGCTGGGAAGGTGGCTCAGTGGTAGAGCGCTTGCCTTGCATGCGTGAGGCCCTGGGTTCGATTCCTCAGCACCACATAAGAAAAAAGAAAAAAGCCGGAAGTGGCGCTGTGGCTCAAGTGGTAGAGCACTAGCCCTGAGCTAAAGAGCTGAGGGACAGCGCCCAGGCCCAGAGTTCAGCCCCACGACCTGACTCAAAAAAAAAAGAAAGAAAGAAAGTCTACGAGACTTCAATTAAGTAGGAGAAAGCTGGAAGTGGTGCTGTGGTTCATAGAAGGAAAAGCTCAGGGACAACACCCAGGTCCTGAGTTCAAGCTCCACAACTGACAAAAACAAGTGGAGTTTTTTAGTGGTACTGGATTTGAACTCAGAACACTGCTTTCTAGACACTGGTGTTCTACCACTTGAGCTACATCTCCAGTTCTGTGGATTAAAGAAAAAAAGTGTAGGAAGTGGCACTGTGGCTCAAGTGGTAGAGCGCTCGCCTTGAGCTGAAGAGCTGAGGGACAGAGCCCAGGCCCAGAGTTCAAGCCCCATGACCAACCAAAAAAAAAAAATAATAAAAAAATTGTAACTTAATTTTTAATTTTTTTTCTGCTAGTCCGGGGGTTTGAACTCAGGGCCTGGGTACTGTCCTGAGTTTTTTTTGCTCAATCAATGCTAGCACTCTACCATGTGAGCCACAGCTCCCTTTTTTGTTTTTTGTTTTCATTTTTGGGGATTTGTTTTTTTGGTTAATTGGAGATAACCGACTTGCCTTCCTATGGTGATTTCAAACTGTGATCCTCAGATCTCAGCCTCCTGAGTAGCTAGGGATACAGGTGTGAGCCACAGGAGCCCAGCTATATTTCTAAAATAAAAATGGGATTGTTATTATTAAAGTATTGTACAGAGGGATTGCCATTTCATAAGTCAGGTAATGAGTACATTTCTTTGGACAATGTCACCCCTCCCTTCACTTCCCCCAAGTTTCCCCCTCCCATCCCTGCCCACAAGTTACCCAGGTCATTTTCCACATAGTGTATACTGAATAGCATGATTGCATTTATTCATCCTTCCTCTTTCCCTTTCTGTGCCCTTCTTTGCCTCCCCCAAAGGAAAAAAAAAGCAAAAACAAGCACACACACACTCCCCACCAACAGTAACAGAAAAAAACCAACCCATTTCCATTTCCTGGAATTTTCTCAATAGATAGTATTTTTTGGGGGGGGGTCTAGTCGTGGGGCCTGAACTCTGGGCCTGGGCACTGTCTGTCAGCTCTTCAGCTCAAGGCTAGCGCTCTACCACTTGAGCCACAGCACCACTTCCGGCTTTTTTCTTATGTGGTGCTGAGGAATTGAACCCAGGGCCTCATGCATGCAAGGCAAGCACTCTACCACTGGGCCACCTTCCCAGCCCTAATAGATAGTATTTTAAATGTTTAGAGAAGTTACACCTTTGTGTTCTCCCCTCAGGGTATCCTCCTTTAGTGTGAGAATTTGTGTGTGAATGACTATAGTCCTCTATAGTTTATCATATATCTTAATTTTTTTAAATAGAAAATACTTAGGAATAAATTGAACCATATTGTATTGTATTGTCTGTTCTACTTGGGAGAAGTGACACCCCAATCACACTAAGAAAAATTAGCACCCGGATCTTGATTTCTGAATACTCTTCATTAAAAGGATTCAGGGCTTCTTGGGAGACTAGAGCTAGGAATGTACAAAATGATCTGGAATTTCTCCTAGCAAAGTGTGGAAGCATTGAGGAGATGAAGGGGACAGACACGTCAGGAGGACACAAATGAGCCACGGTGAAGGAGATGAAAATGAAGAAACAAATTGAGCGAAATGGAAAGCCCTATCACAATAGAATGTCAACGAAGAGTAATGATGTATTATCAATTACTCCATATGAAATACTCACTAGCTTCGTGATGGAGAAACTTGACAAACATCATTTGGCCAAGTAATTAAGTTGATACCACCAGCAATAACAAATCCTGATAAGAAAAACAAGTCGTTTAAATAAGGATACAGGTGGACCTGTTGCAACAATGAGAAGTACAAGTTGTCATGTCCAAAACGAACTTTACAACTTTGGGGCACGGGGAAGATTGGGTGCGGGGGGGGGGGCAGGGGGAAGATGGAAAAAAACATTAGAAAAAAAAAGTTCAAGAGACTCCTTCTCATCTGGAGAATGGTGGTGCACACCTGTTATCACACTATCTTGCCCATGTAATTGTAACCCCTCTGTACAGTATTTTCACAATAAAAAATACAAAAAAACAACAAATCCTGATAAGAGGCATTGAGAATAACAATCAAATGTCACGTTTCTGCCAAAGTTGTAACTACTCTCATGATTAACGACATGATGGTAGGGATTAAGAATTCAGAACAGGTCTATCCTGCATGAGTTCAGTTCTCTGCTCTATCACTTACCAACTATATACTTTGATTGTGTTAGACTTGGATCTTCAGAAACAGATGCTGAGATGGAGTTTGGAGTGCAAGATGTTTATTAAGAATCAATAAGTATGAAAGGGTGAAGAAGCCAGAAAGGTCAAAGAGGACCGACAAAGCCTTGAGCAAGGTAATAGGAGTTTTGGAGCTAGTATGATTGCCTGTCAGAGTTGTGTCACTTGAGTCCTAAATGGCCAGCCTGGATTCTGCACTTCCTCTCCTGGACTTGGGCTGCTAAGGAAAGAAACTGTGAGGTTACTTTCTTTTGAAGGGGAAGGGGGAGAGACGGGGGCGGGGGTGGTTATGGGGCTTGAACTCTGGGCCTGGGCACTGTCCTTGAGGTCTTCAGCTCAAGGCTAGCACTCTACCATTTTGAGCCACAGCATCACTTGCAGGGGCTGGCTTTGAACCACTATCCTCAGATCTCAGCCTCCTGAGTAGCTAAGATTACAGGTATGAGCCACTGGGGCCTGGCTAAATGTGAGGTTACTTTCTACTACAGAACAGACTTGACAGAGCCAACCAAGGAAAGATATTTGTGACTTTCTCCTTGCAGTTGTGCAGCAGTCCTTCCCTTACGTGATGCTTTGCATGGTATATCTCCATGTGCAGCATAAGTAGTGGTCAGCTATACCTGGCTCACAAATGCTGATTTTGAGTGTCTGTACCCCAGAAATTCCAAGATAACATCTAGGTATGTTGAAATTGCCTTTGTGGGATAATATACACCACAAATCAGCAAATTCTACAAATCAGGACCTTTTTGTTTGTCTTCAACAGATTTGCTTTTAATCTGGACACTACTGAATGCTGTCTAAAAGTGGGTAACATTGGGTAGCCTGTCTGCACTTCAATCTTCTCATTTATAATATGGGGCTAATCATACCACTTACATCATAGAATCAGCATAAAAATAAAATGAGTTTATAGATACATAATCATATATACACAATTATACATACATAATTATAGATGTATATATTGCTTGGGATAGCAACCTATCACACAGGAAGCACTCGGTATTATTACTGTAATTATTATTACTATTATTGCCATTAAAAATAGTGTTAGAGAATGTAGGGGCTGGGAAGGTGGCTCAGTGGTAGAGCGCTTGCCTTGCATGCATGAACTCTGGGTTTGATTCCTCAGCACCATATAAGCAGAAAAAGCCAGAAGAGGCGCTATGGCTCAAGTGGTAGAGTGCTAGCCTTGAGCTGAAGAGCTGAGGGACAGTGCCCAGGCCCAGAGTTCAGGCCC